CTGTGACATTGTTCGTCGTAACACGTCTCGTTGCGAATCAACACTTGGAGGGGGGGCAGCAGAACTGTTTGTGATTTGAGCCTCATGGTATGAATCTTGGTTTCCATACATGTAGAACTCTTTGAGAGTCCAAAAATACCAGCTTGCCAATAAATACGGGTCAGTTTGCATTCAAACATCACGCTTCAGCAGGGCGTCGGACAGCTCCCTTTGTTGAAGTCAGTTTCTGCAGGAGATGCAAACCGCTGTTAGCACAGGGGTCGTGAAGAGCGAAATTGCTACATACTCGTTCACCTCTACGAACAATCCAACAATCCTAAAAGTACAGCACTATGATACCATATTCGTTTAATGACTCTGTTATTAACTAGTAGAAAGGCGTTACTTTCTCAGCTGACGTCTGAAAAAGTTTCTGTTTGGTCCAGAACGGTAATGTGATTTTGTATCTGTGCACTACTAGTATTGTGAAACCATCCGGTGGCCTATTTAAATGGTCGGCTATCCACTAAAAACAAAGTGAAGGTATTATTACATCGTGTAAATTAAAGAAGTGACAGGATATCATCATTGATTTTTGCATAGATATTAATTTCTGTTCTGTGAGCATTTGGATAGCGAATGTTGAAGCCAAGACTATTCATTAATCGCGATTCGCTACAGTAACCTGCTGCGCCACCTTTCATTTCCTGAACAAACTTGTTTTATTTGCTTTTATGGTCAGACTGACGCTACCGCGAGTGTAAATGTCTTAGATTTGAACTGTATGAGTTTATTTTAATTTTTATATTGTGACCATATCAAATTCTTGTCGACAAATTATACAATTTCATGAGATAATGTTCCTCTGCCAAGATCTTGAGTGCGTTTCTTTCACTTCGAAAGTGTAATTACAGTCCCATGCACAAGTGAAAGTTCAATCTGCCTCTTTCACACGATGAGGTTTTGATCAGAGTCAAAATCTACATAGAGCCGATCACATCATAGGTATGGAGTATTCCTTTCTGGTTACTTTCCAACTGATCAATCAGTTTCCAAAATAAGAACCATTTTTTGGTACAGCTGTACATCGAAGTAGGCAGACTCCTGAAAATCTTGCTGAAAATGAACAGTCAGAAGATGACTGAAATATTCAGTGAAGACTGTGTAAAATGTGTTTAATAAAACTTTGCTATGCGAAATAGTTAAAAAC